GCAATTTGTCAAATTTGTGGAGATTTTCAAGAAATTGCACATAAATATCCCTTTTGCAGATGCAATAGCACAAATGCCCAGTTATGCAAAATTTTTGAAAGAAATCCTGTCCAACAAGAGGAAACTGGAAGAATATGAGACCCTCTGCCTGAACGAGGAATGCAGTACATTTCTCTTAAAAAATCTACCTCCTAAGCTAAAGGACACGGGAAGTTTTACTATACTATGCACTACTGATTCTAATTATTTTGAGCATTCCATATGTGATTTAAGTGTTAGTGTTAACTTAATGTCACTCTCTATTTACAGGTCTCTTGGATTGGGAAAAGCTAAACCTACAACAATCCCATTGCAACTAGCTGAAAGGTCTATCAAAAGACCAAAGGAAATTATTGAAGATGTGCAAGTCAAGATAGATGAGTTCATCTTCCTGGCAGATTTCATTATCTTGGAAATGGAAGAGGATTCAAATATTCCTCTAATATTGGGAATACTTTTCTTAGCTACCAGGAGAGCATTTATTGATGTATATGACGAAAAAATGATTCTTCGAGTGGGTAATGAGCAGGTCATATTCAATGTGTTCAAGGCAATGAAGCACCTATTAACTTCATATACTTGTTGCCAAGTGGATGTTCTTGATGAGCTTGTGGTCGATATATTTGTTGCAACACATCCAACAATTCTATATGAGGAAGACAGTGCACAATCAGATGCCACAAATGCTGAGAAAACAAAATATACTGTACATTTAGCTAAACAACCAATTCGAAAGAGATACTGGCAATATGAGTCTTTTGGTTCCAATCCTACACCACCCGTACCTTCAGTGGAGAGGGCTCCAAGTCTCAAGTTAAAACCCCTAATATCTCATCTCCACTATGCATATTTGGGAGCCTCTACAACATTTCCAGCGATCATTGCAAATGATTGCAAATGACATGACAGAGGAACATGAAGACAAGTTATTAGAGGTACTCTGGAAGCACAAGACTACAATTGGATGGGCTATAGCCGATATTTGAGGAATCGGTCCTACTCTTTGTACGCATAAAATCTTAATAGGGGACGAGTCTAAGCCATCCGTGGAAGGTCAGCCTAGATTAAATCCAACCTTGGAAGAAGTAGTGGGAAAAAAAGTGCTAAAATTGCTCGATGCAGAAATTATCTAACCCATTTCATACAGTTCTTGGGTGAGTCCAGTACATGTGGTGCCTAAGAAGTGTAGGATTACACTAGAAAAGAACGATAACAACAAGTTAATACCAACACGGTTAGTAACGAGATATAGAGTGTGTATAGATTACATGAACCTAAATAATGCCACCAGAAAAGATCACTTCATATTCTCCTTCATTGATCAGATGGAAAGGTTAGCAGGTCATTCTCATTACCACTTTTTAGACGGATATTTAGGGTACAATCAAATAGCTATTGCTCCAGAAGATCAAGACAAAACAACCTTCACATGTCCATACAGTAATTTTGTATTTAGAATAATGTCTTTTGGTCTGTGCAATGCACCTGCGACCTTTCAGTAGCATGATGGTCATATTCTCTGACATGGTGGAAAAAATACATTGAGGCATTCGTGGATGACTTTTCAGTATTTAGAAATTCATTTGATCACTGTTCAGAACGTTTATCGCTCATATTACGAAGGTTTGAAGAGAAGAATCTAATGTTCAATTGGGAAAAGTGTTACTTTATGGTGAAAGAGGGGATAGTGCTGGGTCATCTAATTTTTTTCACAGGGTATTGAGGTCGACAAAGTAAAGATACAGGTGATCGAAAAATTGCAGCCACCTATTCAGTCAAAGGGATTAGAAGCTTTTTGGGGCATGCAGAGTTTTATAGACTATTCATCCAGGACTTCCCCATGATTACAAAATCTATATGCAATCTACTGGAGAATAATATGTCATTTATCTTTTTTGATGAGTATTTAAATGCCTTTAATACTTTAAAGGAAAATTTAATATTTGCACCTATTATAGTGTCACCAGATTGGGAACTACCCTTCGAGCTCATGTGTGATGCTAGTGATTTGGCATTGGGAGCAGTACTAGGTCAATGAAAGTGAAAGGTCATGCATGTCATCTACTATGCAGCAAAACTTTGACAGATGTTCGATCAACTATGCGACAACTGAAAAGGAAATGCCATCAGTGGTGTTTGCCTTTGACAAATTATGTTCTTATCTAATTGGAAAAGTCAGATGATGTTTATATCATTAAAGGTTTTCCTAATCAGTAATTATTATAGTTGGAAAAGACTCATTGGTACGCGGACATTGTTAACTACTTAGCGAGTGGGTATGTGGATGTAGATCTCACCTATCAACAAAAGAAGAAACTTCTCCATGAAGCAAAATTCTATTATTGGGATGATCCAAATTTATATAGTAAAGAAGTAGACCAGATTATCAGGAGATGTGTACTAGAAAATGAGATGAAACAGATCCTTTCAAGGATTCATGTTTCAGTTTATGGATGACACTTTGACCTAACTAAAATAGCAGCGAAGGTGCTTCAAAGTGGTTTCTTTTGGCCAACATTATTTAAGAACAGCCATAGTTTCTGCAAATCTTGTGATAACTGTCAAAGAACATGTAACATATCGACTCGTCACGAGATGCCACTAAACAACATTTTGGAGGTGAAACTATTTAATATATGGGAAATTGATTTTATGGAACCTTTTTCGTCATCCAATAACAATCGATATATCCTGGTGGCAGTGGACTACGTCTCCAATTAGGAGGAAGCGAAGGCATTACCCCCAATGATGCAAAGGTACTGGTATATTTTATAAAAAAAATATTTTCAACCGCTATGGATCTCCAAGAGACATCATAAGTGATGGTGGAACTCACTTCATCAATCGGTTATTCCAGGCGGTGCTTGCTAAATACGGGGTACAACATCGAATAGTCACACCCTATCACCCTCGGACAGTAGATAGGTTGAAACTTCTAACAAACAGCTGAAGAGAATTCTGAAACTTACAGTGAATGCATCTCGAAAAGATTAGTCCAAAAAAATTGCACGATATTTTGTGAGTCTATCGCATCGCTTACAAGATGCCAATTGGAATGTCGCCATACCGAATTGTATTCGGGAAAGCTTGCCACCTACCAGTTGAGTTTGAGCACAAAGCATATTGGGCATTGAAGCAGT